TACAATACAAGATCTTCCTTCCTCAGTTCCCTTAAATCACAGCCCAGGGAAATCTGCTCAGAGACTTCATTGAGCCACGGACCAGCATGTCTGGGGGCAAATACGTAGACTCCGAGGTAGGCTCGGGTGGGTGCGCGCCGGGCCCGGGCACGCCAGGAGCGCCTGCTTCTGCTATCTCCCACTCCAAATACCCCGGCTGCTTTCCTTGCCCCAGCCCTCTCTCGACTTCGGGGCACTCCTCTAGCGCTGGCACTGCTGAGGAATGGGCCTGGGCGGGAGGCAAAGAGGGGGCAGGAATGTTCCGTTTTCCTATTGGGAACGGGCCCGGGGTGGGGGGCAAGGGGAGGGCTAAGCTAGAGGGGAAAGGGGGTCGGGATTCTGAAGCTGGGCTTCCCTGACCCAGGACGCGTTTCTGGGTGGGTCCCAGGTGCTGCCCTACTGCAGGACCCCCACGGTCCGGCCGGTGCTTGCTGGGAGGCTGAGAGCTGGGTCTGGTGGGAGGTCATTCCCACGCAGTCCTGAGGACTGCCCCCAGCGACTCCCCGCCAGGCGCCTGGACGGGCTGGCCCCCGCGACGGCGCGTGCGGTGTTTGCACTTTCCGAAGCTCTTAGGCCACCTCAAGAACTCTTCCTGCATCTCTGAGCCTGGCAGGGGTGTTTGGAGAGGGACGGATTTCCCTCCCCCCAACTACCACCACCCCTTCCAACCACCCTCCTCGTGTTCTGGGAGTAGGGACCTCGTTATTTCAAACGCAGCCGCCGTTCATCCACGGGTCGGCAGCCTGGGAGTGGTCTAAGGGTGGGTCCGGGGAGTCGTGCAGGTGAGATGATCGTTCTAGGGAAGTTTGGGGAACTGATACAGGGCTCCGCCCAGAGACGGGGCATGCGGGGCTGTAAGCACCACGGGGGTTGGGGGAGCTGTGGAGGGACAAGGAGGGCACAGGGAGGGTGGGAGATGCGGGCAGGTGCTAGGGAGACGCGGCCAGAAAGCAACGAAATGGGGACATTCCAAGGGTCGGAGAGTTCAAGTTGAATCTTAAGGATGAAGTTGGAAAGATTATGGAGAGATGGGGAATGGGGTTGAGGGACCGGAACATGGAGCAGGTGAAGCACTCGGAGCGAGGGAGGGGAACTGGAGAGAAGTCAGAGGTATGGAATGTTCAAATGTCTTTCTTAATTATCATTTCATCTTTCCATTATGCTCATGTTTGTTTTATATAAAAGATAATTTTTTAGATTAA